AGTGGAGAAGCTGAGAAATGAAATGGTACCCATGTGGGATGACAGTATCACAAGAAGCAGCTTTACCCGCCGGCTCCAATCACAGTTAATTTTAATTGCGGGTCTGATAATTTCAATATCTCAGTTCTGAAGCTCATCTTGTCTTTTCATACAATGTTTTTTTTTTTTCTTTCCATTAAGTATACCTTGTAATTTTGTGTTGAAATCAGAGTGTGATGTATCAGGTAACAGAATTTGAGATAATTAGACTTTTAGTATAAAGTTTTATGTTAATCTATGACTTATAATATACAGGGGTCAGAAAAAGGCTCATGGAAAATGTATTATAAAAAAAACTATACATGGATTTCCAAAATTTTTTGCACAAAAATAAACTTACACTAACTTGTGTGAATAGGGTTTAGTTTAAAACACTAAGAAGGGTAAGACATCATTTTGAAAAGATCCCTTAGTAGAGTAACATAATTCAGCTGAAATTGAAGCAATAACAAACGTCAAATTGATGGTGAAGTTTATGTGGAAAAATGGTGAAATCATTGATCTATTATGAAAAATTTATGGAGACAATGCCCCAACGAGTTTCACAAGTACTGTTTACAAGAGTATAACTCATTTTAAGAGGTATTGAGTTTGGAGCCAGCACTGTGGTACAACGAATTAAACCACTGCCTGTAGTACCAGCATCCTATATGGGCACTGGCTCAAGTCCTGGCTACTCCACTTGCAATTCAGCTCCCTGCTAACATGCCTGGGAAAGCAGCACAAGATGGCCCAAGTCCCTGAGCCTCTGCACCCATGTGGGAGACCAGGATGAAGCTCCTGGCTCCTGGATCAGCCCTGGCCCTTGTGGCTATATGGGAAGTGAACTGATGGATGAAAGATCTCTCTCTCTCTCAATCTGTCTCTCCCTCTCTCTGTATCTCTGCCTTTCAAATAAAATAAATAAATCTTTATTTTAAAGATTTATGTTAAATAAATATTTTAAAGATTTATGTTAAATAAAACTTTAATAAAGAGATTTATTTATTTGTTATTTGAAAGGCAGAGTGACAAAGAGGAAGAGGCAGAAAGAGAGAAAGATAGAGGTCTTCCATCATCTGGTTCTCTCTGCAAATGGCTGCAACAGCCAGAGCTGTGCCAATCCAAAGCCAGGAAGCCAGGAGCTTCCTCCAGGTCTCCTACATGGGTGCAGGCCATCTTCTACTGCTTTCCTAGGCCATAGCAGAGAGCTGGATCAGAAGTGGAGCAGCCGAGACTCGAACCGGTGCTTATATGAGATGCTGGCACTGGAGGCAGCGGCTTTACCTACTACGCCACAGTGCCAGCACCATAAATAAATCTTTAAAAATAAGAAGTAATGAGGGGCCAGCGCCGCAGCTCACTAGGCTAATCCTCTGCCTTGCGGCGCCGGCACACCGAGTTCTAGTCCCGGTCGGGGCGCCAGATTCTGTCCCGGTTGCCCCTCTTCCAGGCCAGCTCTCTGCTGTGGCCAGGGAGTGCAGTGGAGGATGGCCCAAGTCCTTGGGCCCTGCACCCCATGGGAGACCAGGATAAGCACCTGGCTCCTGCCATCGGATCAGTGCAGTGCGCTGGCCGCAGCGCGCCGGCCGCGGCGGCCATTGGAGGGTGAACCAATGGCAAAAGGAAGACCTTTCTCTTTGTCTCTCTCTCTCACTGTCCACTCTACCTGTCAAAAAATAAAAATAAATAAATAAATAAATAAGAAGTAATGAGATAGGGCATTGTGGCACAGAGGGTCAAACTGCCACTTGAGACTCCCACATCTCTGGGAGTGTCTGGGATTGAGTCCTGCCTATGACTCTGATCCAGCTCCCTGCCAATGCTCCTGAGAGACAGCAGGTGATGGCATAGGTGCTTGGTCCTCTGCCACTCGGATGGCAGTCCCTGGATCCTGGCTTTGACTTGGCCCCATCCCTGCTGTTGCAGGCATTTAAGAAGTGAACCAGTAGATGGAAGACCTATGCCTCTCTATAAAACTCTGCCTTCGAATAAATAAATAAATTTTTTTAATAAAATGATGATAAAGATTTAGGAATTGGCTGCTGGAATTGTACAGTAATATCAGAGAGCTGAGGGAAAAAATGTGCAGAGAAGTGCCTATAGGTTTACTGTTCATAACTGGAAACAAAGACAACACTGGACATATGATACATATGTGATAACTATTATTGTCATCAAGTAAGCATATGAGAGTATACACTACTGATGTCACAGGATCATAGAAATGTATTGGTAAAACAACTCATTGAGTTTTTTTTTTTTTTTGTCTTGGGAAATTTTGAGGTGTTAATATTATCCCATTATTCCTGGTTTTGTCCTTGTTTATTTTTCAGTCATACAGTTCTGTCAGATAGTCAGAGCAAGCCATAGAGGCCTAGTCTAATCCTGAGTCATTCCCATTTGAAGTAAAGACCTAGAGGTATTGGATTAATGTTGGCAGTTGGTCTATTCCATGTGAGTCCCCAGTAGGCCTGGAAAGTTTACTGGAATTTCTGATTTATTGGCACTCACAGGAACTCATGGGAAAACCTGAGAACAGATTTAGATCAGTGTCTATACAGGATTTTTGGGCAGAGCAGAGAATCAGAAACAACCACAGGAAAAGGTATTGTGGCACAGTGGGTTAAGCTGCTAATTGGGAGCCCTGCATTCCATATCAGAGTGTCGGTTCAAGTCTTAGACACACTGAGCTTCCAATTCAGCGTCCTGCTACCGAGCCCAGGGAAAGAAATGGATGATGGCCTAGGCACTTGGGTTTCTGACACCAACTTGGGAGACCAAGCCTCACTCTTAGCTTTAGCCTTGACCAGCAGTGGTTGTTGTAGGTATTTGGGTAGTGAATCCAAGAATAGAAGATTTCTTGCTGACTCTCTGTCACTCTGCCTTTCAAATGAATGAATGGATAAATAAATAAATTAAATAAATACATCTTTTAAAAACAAGTGACCATAAATATGGGATGTGTTATATCAAAAGAAAATCTTCAGCTACCAGAGTGGTGAGCAGACTTTCTCTCTTGGCTGTGATAGGACAAAACATGATAATCTTAAGGGGTGGGGAGCTTCCAGTGCACACTTCAGCAGTTCAGAATGGAGATTCAATGGACACAAAGGATTGGTGTGAAGTATCATTCTCAAAGATTTAGGTGGTGCTGTGGGCTGGGAGAAAGAGAGACCGCTGCCTATGTTTCCAGTGGAATTTTGTCTAAAGAGTTGGGTAACTGCTTGGGATTTTGACTTTGCTATTGATGATTCTCACTATTGCTCAATTTCATTCTTTAATCCTAGCACTCACATTTATTAACTTGAGGTTATTTAAAAGGCTTGAGGCAGTTTTCTCTGTACGGTGGAGCTAACAGAAGATGCACCATTGAATAGTTCTGAGTTTGAAAAGATATTTTGTATTGAAAGTGCTGAAGGTGCTCATGAAACTAGGTATCGTTACCCATGAATACACACACACACACACACACTCACATGTGCATACACTCACTTGTCCATTTAGAAATAATATTTGTTCATGACGAAGATTGCAGATAAACTGTATATGATTCAATGTCAGAAAGGATCCCTTTATTTTATTACAAATTAAATAAAGTTTATTGTACATAAATTTCCTCATTTGTGAAGAGTGTTGCAACATTATAATGGCTTAAACAATATTTTCACATATGCGTGTTCATTGGATTATCAATATGTTACTCAATTATAAACATCAATACTTCAACATTTACAGTGGGCAGGACCTTTGAGTTTTTCATAAAAAAGCAGAGTAATAGGACCTGGTATTTTTTAAATGTCTAAACTTCTTTGAGAGGCTAGGTAATGAAAATAAGAGTATATTAAATTATATAAAATGAAACAGTTGCAATATGGGAATTAGTTTTACTTTAAATTATTTATAATGTGTGGCATATTCAACCACAAAGGACCAAAAAAAATAATCTAATGATTCCTCCTTCTAGTATTTATTTGTACGTAAGCATGCCATCTGTCTTCATTTTGGTTCCTAAATTGACGTCAATTGTATATTATAAAATGCTCCAAGATAAACTTTATAAGCCTGAGCGTAAGTTTTTCTTTAGAATTTTCTCAGAAAGCATAAACATTACAACATTTCTGGAACAGCTGCATATTCAAAGTCTTAGTTTGCTCAAGGACATAGCTAAGCTTTAAACAAAATTAAGTAAAGCCCCACGTAAAAGACTCTTAAAAACTACATGACAGTAGTAACATCTTAAACAATGTGAAATATTCAATAATCTATGCAATCTGTAATTATTTACAAAAGTACAAGTCAACAAATATTTGCTTCAAATACTCAAAATAGTATTCACTCAAGTCTTAGGCACAGTCCACATGAATTTATTGCTAGCATTAGAATATAGCAGATTTTACAAGCAATTGTTTGCACAGTAGCCCTTATATCTATGATGTTGCTTTCTGTGCTTTTGGTTACCTATGACCAACTGAAGTCTAAAAATGTTAAGTGGAAAATTCCAGAAATAAATAAACAATCATTGTTTTAAATTGCCTACCAGTCTGAGTAGCATGATTAAATCTCAAACAGTTCCACTCTCCCACACAGGACGTGAATCATCATTTCATCCGGAATATTCATGTTGTATATGCCACCTACCAATTAGTCTTGGTTATTTGATTGACTGGCTCAGTATCACAGTGCTTAAGTTCCAGTAATCCTTACATAGTGGCTTCACACTATCTCACAAGGCTCACATCACTTGCCTCCTTCATTTCATGACGTAAGCATTGTATCATCTCACATCATCACAAGAAGAGTGAGTAAAGAATGATAAGATATTTTGAAAGAAAGATCATATCTTTGCACATTTATTGTAGTGTCCTATTATAATTGTTCTATTTATTATTAATTATTGTTCATCTCGTAATGTGTCTCGTTTATAAACTAAAACTATATCACAGATATGTACAAGGATGTAAAGAATAAGGGGTACTTACAATGCTTGGATCTTCAGGCATCCACTGGGGATCTTCGAGGTATTCCTCACAGAGAAATGGAGACTGCTTTATAGGCACTGATTTTCATCCCTCTATCATTCTTAGTATTAAATTCATTGTGTTGATTCCATTGGCTTGAATGGGAATAACTGCAATTTCAAGACAAAAGGGATAGCATTTGAAAATGAATGGACAATGATTTATATTATGGAACAAATTGTGTCCCCTTCAAAATTCATATGTTGATGTCCTACCCCAAAGTAATGAAGAATGTGATTAAATTTGGAGATGAATTCTTTGGGTGATCAAGTTAAAAGTGAGGCCTTGGGTTCTTCTTACTGATCTGATTGGTCCATGTAAAAGGAAATTTGGGCACCCTGAAAGATACAAGGAGCATTAGCAGGCACAGAATAAAAGAAATGGGAGCCGGCGCCGCAGCTCACTAGGCTAATCCTCCACCTGCGGTGTCGGCACCCTGGGTTCTAGTCCCAGTCAGGGTGCGGGATTCTGTCCCAGTTGCTCCTCTTCCAGTCCAGCTCTCTGCTGTGGCCCGGGAAGGCAATGGAGGATGGCCCAAGTGCTTGGGCCCTGCACCTGCATGGGAGACCAGGAGGAAGCACCTGGCTCCTGGCTTCGGATCAGCGGGGTGCACCGGCCGTAGCAGCCATTTGGGGGGTGAACCAACGGAAGGAAGACCTTTCTCTCTCTCTCTCTCACTGTCAAACTCTGCCTGTCAAAAAAAAAAACAAAAAAACAAAAAAACAAAAAACAAACAAAAAAAAAAAACATGGGAAGAAGGTGCTGTCTGCCAGTCTGGGAGACAAGCCTCACAAGAAACCAGCCCTACTGTCACCTTGGTTTGGACTTCCAGCCTCCAGGATTGCAAGAAAATAAATTCCTGTTGTTTAAACCCCAGTCTGTGGTATTTTGCTGTGGCAGCTCTCACAAATCACTGTAGATATAATTCTTGCAAACCCCTATGAAGAACATATGACTATTACTCATTTTTTAATATATAACTATTTTATAGAAAAGAAAACAACTAAAGCACAATGAGCCAGGGATTGAACCCAGGAGTTAAGAATCAGAGACTTTGGGCTGGTGTTGTGGCATAGTGGGCTCAGTTCCAGCTGCTCAGTTCCACTGCTCGCACTGCTAGTGCGAATAGGAAGCAGTGGAAGATGGCCCAGGTCCTTGGGCCCCTCCTATCCATGTGTGACACTTGGATGGGGTGCCTGACTCAGCTCTAGCCATTATGGCAATTTGGGGAGTGAACCAACAGGTGGAGGATCTCTCTCTCTCTCTCTCTTTCTTTTTTAACTCTGCCTTTCAAATAAATTTTAAAAAAAAGAATGAGATGACTTTCATTCCAAAATATTTTGCTCTACATGAGGCTTATTACAGATAATGCTACTAAACCATGTATATGTATATATACACTACATGTATATATTTCTTTTATTGTCTAATTAAGTATGTTGTTCTTTGAAACAATCTTCTAAGTTATTACAGGATAAAGGAGGAAAGAAAGCATGGCAGGGTTTGGACTTGCATAAGAAAAGTATTTCCACTGAGCAAATAAAAATCATAATTTCAGCTTGCTCTTAAAGATAACAGAGAAGACCTCAGGGCCATGTGATGAGATAACAGAAAATCTAGAGCTCAAGGAAAACAAAATGTTTTAGAAATGAATACCTTTCAGAAATAACAGAAAAGGCAACAGACATTGCTTGATGCACAATAGAAGACACACAGGACAGCTAGCAAGAGAGATATAAACATAATTCAAATAAGCATTATAAGAGGAAATCTTGGGGCCAGTCACAGTAAATTGTTTCTTCTTACAGTGCCGGCATCCCATATGGACACTGGTTCGAGTCCTGGCTGCTCCACTTCTGATCTAGCTTTCTGCTGTGACCTGGGAAAGCAGTAAAAGACAGCCCAAGTGTTTGGGCCCCTGCACCCATGTGGAAGACCTGGAAGAAGTCCTGGCTCTTGGCTTCGGATTGGCCCAACTCCGGCTGTTGTGGCCATTTGGGGAGTAAACCAGCAGATGGAAAATCTCTGTTTCTCTGTCTCTGTCTCTCTCTCTTTTTCTGTAACTGTATCTCTCAAATAAATAAATAAATCTTTTTTAAAAAAAGAAGAGGAAACCTTACAGTTTATTTAAATGTTCCACTAATGATAAAAAGTGGGGAGAATGTGGTGTTTGAGATCAACCTTCCTATTGATCCAGTGGAGCAGAAAAACCCAAAGCAAAGCATTTGTCTGCAGGCATCAGACCCCTGGCACGACAGGGAGAAGCAGAGGTGTCCACATCTGGGAGGGCAGGTGCTGAGACCCACATTTCAGGTGGCGTTTTCTCTTCAGCGTCCCTTAGCAGACAAAGTAGTAGATTTGAGGTTGAAAAGCTGAGCAGAGCTATTAGCAAACCTACAAGGACTTGAGACAAGAATTAGAATCTAGGTCCTGCTCCAAAAAAGGATCTCTGTTTCCACACTTAGGCCTTTCCTTTAGGATGTGAAGAGATGCATCAGAGTAATTAGGTGAACCTGAAATATTCTGGACCTCACAGTTCACAGAACAGGAAGCTGCAGCACAGAGAAGTTAAATAGTTTGCCCATAATCATGTAGTTACTAGTAGCAGAGCTGGGATCTGAATCTGGACAGTCTGGCCCCAGATTCCTTGCTTTTTATTATTATTGTACAGCATTAAGCCTGCATAATATTGACACCCAAATATAGGAAGATAGCACAATCGAAAAATTGGAACTAGAGTGGGCATTTTGGTGCAGTGGATTAAGCCACTGCTTGGGATGCCTGCCTCCTACATCCCAGTGCTCAGTTCTAATTCCAGATACTCTGCATTTTCAACACTACACCTTCCTACTAATATATACCCTGGGAGAAGCAGCAGATGACACCCCCAAGTACTAGGATTCCTGCCACCCACGTGGGAGATCTGGTTGGAGTTACGGGATCTTGGCTTCCACTTGACCCAGCTCTGCATGTTGTGGGTATCAGGGATGTGAACCAGCTGATGGAAAATTCTGTCTCCCTCATTCTCCACTTGACATTTCCTTTCTTTCTTCTTCCCCTCTACCTCTTCCTCTCTTTTCTTTCCTTCCTTCTACTGGTTTTCTTTTGGATAAATCAAAAGGATAAAACAGTTCAAAGATTTGTGCACTAAACATTAATATATCCACCTTTGCAAGTGGAAATTTTAATAATTGCTTATAGTTTGCCTTAATAAAAGAAATAATACAGATAAAAATATGTAAGCTTACATAGTACTTTTGTGCTAGTCTCTTTTATTGCTTTCTTTATATTAACCAATGATTCTTCAACCGGGCCCAGCCGAAGCTGCTGTGGACATTTGGGCAGTGAACCAACGATGGGAAGATCCCTCCCTCCCCCGTCTCCTTCCCTGTTTCTCCATATATATATAACTTTCCCTTTAAAATAAATAAAATAAGTCTTAAAAAAAAGAAACCCTGGAATCCATGTTCTTTCATGGATGAGGAAACTGTTTTCTACCAAGGGCCACTTGGCTATTTTTTAAAGGTTTATTTATTCATTGGAAAGGCAGAGAGAGAGAGAGAGAGAGAGAGAGAGATCTGTATGCCCCAACCCCTGGAGCATTATTATTTGTATCTTTAGGTAAGGTTTCTCTCAATTCCAATTAAAGTTTTTGACTTGAACCTTATTCTGACCATTTTGTATCAGCTCTCTTTTTTAATGATGCTCTGACATAGAGCATCTGTCGTTTGGCTATTATGTGTATCTTTTGGAAATAACTGTATGTCTGGATTTCATTTTTTATTCTAGTTTGAAAATAAACAACCTTCAGCCCTTTAAAATTATATGTTTTATTTCACCTTATTTCTACTTATCTCATTTTTTGTTTTCTACTTGACATAATTTTGCTTTCCAACATGTACTCTTCCTTTTCTGCTTTTATTGATTAAAAAGAGTTCTCTCTGGTATATTTTAATTTACTCTTCTATCTCAGAAGTGACCTACAGCATTTCTAATTAATGTATAAATATTTGATATTATTATAATAAATATACATTTTACATTCATTATTTTCATAATTTTGTAAATGGTCTCTTTTTTGGTCAATATCTTTATCCTTTATTTAAATAAGGAAAGAACTTAGCAAACTTTAAATTTCTTCCTAAATTCTCCCTTGAATCTTCCTTGAGTCTAATACCTAAGTTCCACATTTTTATTTTCTAAATCTTGCCCCAGATGAATCTCAATTCCTACTCAATATTTATTTTTATTGATCAATGTATCTCTAATTTCCTTGATAATCACTGCACTGGCTGGAATTATTTCCTTCTGGATTCTTTTTTTTTCTTCTTGTTGAGATATATTAATTACTAGTTCCTTCAGTGATAGTTGAAAGGTAGTAACTCTTGGTCCACTTCCGATCCAGCTCTCTGCTATGGTCTGGGAAAGTAGTAGAAGATGACCCAAGTCCTTGGGCCCCTGAACCTGCTGGGGAGACCCAGAAGAAGCTCCAGGCTCCTGGCTTCAAATCATAGTTCTGGCCATTTCAGTCATTTGGGGAGTGAACCAGTGGATGGAAGACACCCTCCCTCCGCCTGCCTCTGCCTCTGTACAACTCTGCCTTTCAAATAAATAAATAAATCTTTTTTAAAAAAATAGAAAACTTTAAGCTGTTTATTATTTAAGTTAGATTTTTCTGGAAAAGAAAATATTAGATTATAAGCCCAAGTTATGAACTTAATGGGAAATATTGAAAAGAATTAGAAGACAATTACCACAAATTTCTGATTAAATCACTGATCACATACATAAAAGAGGGTTGGCTAACATTAACTGGTGAGCTACTTTAGAATCATTTTTTTTAATACTGTCTTCATAGAGTTTCTCTTTAAGTCTATTTTCTAAGAACCATTGAAAAATTTCCAAATTTTGGTGATGTGTACCCTTGAGACCCAAAATGTTTATTTTAAAAAAATTTATGTTTATGTCAGGCTGGATGGGTGGTGATAATTTTTTAAATTTTTGTTTGTTATGGGAGGTCCTTATTTCACCTTAATTCATGAATGAGAGCTTTGTAGAATATAGTACTCTGGGCTGATAGTTTTTTCTCTTATGACTTAGACTGTGTCTC